TCTCTCTCTCTCTCTCTCTCTCTCTGTCTCTCTCTCTCTCTCTCCGCCCCGCGCGGAGTTAAATTACTTCGGAAATGCTCATCAGCAACAGTCAGAGGGTCCACAGGTGGCAGCAGATGGTCTTACGCCGCGCCGCCTACTCACTGGCAGGTGCGTAAAACTCATTGTTTTTTGTTAAACACGTATCATCGTGGCATGGGCCTGCAGCTAGTACATGTATAAGAACGTATAGGCCTGCAGCAATCCGTCACTGCGCGCCGCATGTATCCCCTACTCAATTCATTATTCATACACTGGGGGCATTTCCAAAAGGGCAGGCTTGCCCAGATGCAGAGAGGTTAGAGTACCTTCAAGTATGGGCACAACTTGAATGTGCTTACATAAAGGCGGGAATAGGCAATGACAGAGGTGCTTTCATACATCTAAGAAACAGATGGAAATCAGACTTATAAATACAACAAAAACCAAGACCAGGATTTTCAAAACCAGCGTCAAAAGTGACCTGCTTTATGAATCAGAAACATAGAAACTTACGAAACAAACTTGTAAAAAAACTACAGATATTTATCAACAGCTGCTTAAGCAAAAACTCTAAAACATTCATTGGCCTGATACCATAAGAAACGAAAACAGAAAATGACTATAGAAATATATGAGGAAGACAATAAATGGTCGGACAAGCCTTGAGAAAACAGAAAACAAACATTGCACGCCAAGCCTTACGATGGAATCCACACACACACACACACACACACACACACACACACACACACACACACACACACACAAAGACAGAAACTTAAATTCAATAAACACTTTAGAAAAACACTATCAAAAACAACATCTCCAGGCGGGACTAAAAATATACTTGTACAACACAGGTAAATAAAGGTAAATACTCACTTTATGAACTGATTCACATGCTGCATGGAAGCCTCATAATTTTTCCCACCTACTTCTTGACAATGAATTGCAACAAACCCAGGTTTTTGTGTCTGTATGCACTGCAAAAACAGGAAAAAAGCAACAGTGAACATACGATATGATCCGTGGTTACAGAAGGCTGAAAGGCAGAAATTAATTAAATGTAAACTTGCACATATTAACAATATTGCAAACAAAAGATCCTTATCATGTGCATGGGCAAAATAAAGAGTTTTCATAAAAACCAAAACTTGGAATTACTTAGATTGTAAAACGAATAGAACTGTGTACACATAGAAGTATCATCATCAGCCTTTCAGTATAAAAGCCACCAACAAGAGCTGTCCACGAACTTCTGTCCTAATCCCTACCTCTGTCCAAGTCCAACTGTATCCAATCTCCTCAGGTCAGACTCTATGTCCCTCCTCTAAGTACTTAAAAGGCCTTCCTTTCTTTCTTTTTCTTTGTGGATTCCATCCTAGACTTCATGAGTAATATTGTTTCTCAGTTTTCTCAAAGCATGTCCAATCCACTTACATTTTCTCTTTTTCATTTCTATCAATTTTCTGTTGAACTGTTTGTTCCCATAGTTGGTCATGGTGTCAGGCCAATTAATTTTTTTAATTTTTTCTAGGTAGCTATTCATAAAAATGCCTGTAGCTTTTATTTGTAAGTAACTTGTAACTTGTAAGTTTCTGAGTTTCTGATCCATAAAGTGGTACACATTTGACACTGGTGTTGAGGATCCTTTTCTTGGTTTTTGTACCTTATAATTCTTGATTGATGGTCATATATATGTTTGTTAGTTGTGAGAAAGCACCTCTTGCTATGCCTATTCTTACCTTTATATCTGCATCTGTTCCTCCAAATTTGTCTATAAAACTGTCTAGGTAAGTGAAGGAATCAACTTCCACTTAAAGTGTTTCTTCAGCGGTAATCTGATCATTGATGGTGGTTTTGATTTTTACTATCTTGGTCTTGTCTGGAAGTACTTCAAGGTTGGTTATCTCGAAACATTTACAAGATCTTCTGTTTTCTCTTTCATTTGTTGACAACTTAGAAGTGAAAGTAAGGCAAAATCATCTGCAAAGTCCAGATCTTCAAGTTGTGTCCATTACCTTCACTGGATTTTTGCTTTTCTGTGCTCTGTGATCATTTTCATAATCCAATTGATGGTAAGTAAAAACAAGAAAGGTGAAAGTGAAAGTATACATCCTTGTTTCACTCACGTATGTATCTCTGAAAGCTGTCGATGAACTGACCTTCATGGATGACTCTACAGTATGTATCGTTGTAGTATTCTTGGGTTAGTCTGACTAGTTAGTTTTTCCAGGATGCCGCAATGTCTGAGAATTTTCCAAGGTGTCATGATGGATGCTGTGGAATGCATTTTCGTAGTCCGCAAAGATGACTAGAAGTAGCGAGTTTCATTCCAGTGATTGCTTGGCTATAATCCTAGCCGATGTATGCAATTTGATCAATACAAGATCTGTCGTTTCAAAATATTGCTTGGTAAAGATGAAAGGCTCATTTTAATAATTTACAGTGATTGATAATAATTATCCCTTGATAGAGTTTACAATTGCTGAGGTCACCTTTCTTGAAGAATTAAATTTGATGAGATGTCTTTCTTTTAGTTTAGCCCTTTGGGAATTCTTCTTTATCCCAGATCTTTTCAAAAAGTGGATGGAGGATGTCAGCTGTTGTCCCTTTTCTGATTTTAGAGAATTTACAGTGACGTAGTCAGGTCCTGCTGCTCTTCCATTTTGCAGTTGAGAAAGTGCCTGTTTGACTTGTTCTTTTGTTGGCGAGTCACTACTGATGTCCAAGTCAGCAGTTGCTGGAAGTATTCTGTGAGTTGCTCTGGGGCTGGTGCATTTAAAAGCTCTTGAAAATACTGGGCCTATCTATTGAATTGTGCATCTTGTCACATTTAGTCTTTTTTTATCATTGTCTTTAACTAGTGCTTCAGGCCTGTTAAAATTTCTGCAAAGTTTCCTTGTTTTATTGGCTCTCTTCATGTCACCATGTAACACTACTTCTTCTAATGTTTCAGCTAGACCTTCCGCAAACGTGCATTTTGTCCTCTCTTAAAATCTCTTTGCTCTTCCTGAGCGTCCGCCTTAGTGATGCTTGTCTTTCAGAATTAAGCATTCGTTTTTCTTTCCTTGCTCTTTCCAAACTTGTATTTATTTGTAGTGGCTCTTTTAACATCCATTCTTTATGTTGGTGATCCTTTCGTCCTAGTTCTTCCCTGAATGTTGAGTTATATAATATATATGTCCCATATGGCTGCCCAACGTTCCTCAAAGTCTACTTCCTCTTTTCCCAGCAATTCTCACAGCACTAGATCATCTGTCTTTTCAAACCCAAATTAAACTTTTCATAAATGGTCTTGTCTTTCAACTGGAAGGTGTTGAATTTTAGTCTTTTTTTGGGTGGTCATTTATTGCTGCTTTTTTTAGGTTTTTTTTTTTTTTAGTTTAGTTTACATTCTCCACTGACAAGGTGACGATCTGATGCTGTGTCTGCCCCTCTGTTCAGTGTCTACTGTCTTCATTGTTCTCTCCTTAAAATTTCGTGAGACACGCATGTCATCTATTTGGATCTCTGAGGCATAGTCAGGGGAATCAACAATGCTTTCAAGTGGATCCTCTCGCGAAGGGAAATGGGGAGTAGATGTTATAAAAATGATACGTACATAAATCAAAATAATGCAAAATTGAAAGTCAAAACAACAATCATAGTAGTTTATAATTATAGCAATTTAAGCAACATGCAGACTTCCAATAATAACTTCATACACGTACACTTCAGCAACCACAAAGATTTTTAAAAACTGCATAGAAATAGACAAAAGTGTATGACAATCGGTTTTTTCCCCACACTGAAAGCAAACCAACTATTCAAAATTAGTTTTGAATAATTCTTTCAAAAAACAGTTCATTCAACAAATGCAGTTTTTTAAAATCTTTGTGGTTGCTGAAGTGTGTATGAAGTTATTATTGGAAGTCTGCATGTTGCTCAAATTGCTATAACTACTAAGATTGTAGTTTTGACTTTCAATTTTGCATAATTATTTTGATTTATGTACGCATCATTTTTATAACATCTACTCCCCGTTTTACAATGAGTATTTAAAATGTCCAGACACGATCATTAGTGATTACACTCCCCAAGAAAGGTAACATGCAACTATGTCAGAACTGCCGCACCATCAGTCTAATAAGCCATCCCAGGAAGGTTATGTTGAAGATAATGCTGAACAGATTGAAACCACAGGCAGAGAAGATCATTGCCGAAGAGCAGGCAGGCTTTAGAGCAGGGCGCAGCACAACAGCTCAGGATACTGTGCAAGAGGTACTTCAAACACCAACAAAACCTATACCATATCTGGATTTTAAAAAGGCCTTCGACAGGGTCTGGCATGCAGCCTTATGGATGGGCAACCATGAGGAAAATAACATCAACGCGAACCTGATCAACGTCATACAACAACTATGACAAGGCCTCCAGCGCAGTCTACCTTAACGGCAGCATAGGGGACTGGTTCAGGACAACGGTCAGGGCGAGGCAAGGCTGTTTGCTCATTCCCACTCTCTTCAACATCTTCCTAGAACAAATCATGACTGACGCTCTGGAAGACCACAATGGAACAATCAGTATTGGAGGCAGGACAATCACTAACTTGCGTTTTGCCGATGATATCGATGGATTAGCAGGAGAAAAACAGGAGCTCGCCACACTAGTGGAGCGGCTGGACACAACCTCAGCAACCTACGGCATGGAGATCAGGGCCGACAAAACCAAGCTAATGACCAATACCAATGGCATCAACGTCGACATCAAAGTCAGGGGCGAGAAACTTCAGACCATCAACAGCTACAAATAGTTTGGATCAATCGTCTCAGATGAAGGCTCAAGACCAGAAATTCTCTCCAGAATCGCACAACAGATGCGCTGTCAAAACTGAATGAAGCCTATTTGGAGGGACAGAAACATCACGCACAACTACAACTAAAAAATCAGACTAATGCGCTCACTGGTCATCTCAGTATTTTTATATATGCCTGCGAGTCGTGGACACTAACAGCAGAATTAGAGAAAAAGATTCAGACCATAGAGATGAGATGTTACCGCAGACTCCTTGACATCTCGTACAAAGACCATGTTTCAAATGCTGACGTACGAAAGAGAATCACCAATCCAGTGGGGTAGTAAGATCTACCGATCACAGTGAAGAGATGAAAATTAAAATGGTATGGGCATGTCACAAGATCCACAGGACTTGCCAAAACAATCCAGCAAGAAATCGTACAAGGAAAGAGAAAGAGAGGAAGGCAGAAAAGGAGATGGGAGGACAACATTACAGAGTGGACAAGAAAGACGATGGGTGACAATCTGAGGAAAGCAGAGGACAAAAATAGATGGCGAGAGCTGGTTTTCAGATGTAGTGGTGCCCCCACGGTTGCCCCAACCTTGGGATAGAAGAAGAAGAAGAAGATTTTAAATGAACTTACTGTGCAGCATCAATACATTATAAATTGATTTTAAAGTATTACACACCAAAGCCAAACCACTGCTTGCTCACCTGAAAAAAAGCCTTCAGCCAAGGGGCAAACATTGCATCCGGCTGCAAAAACAAGAAAATATTGGTCATATAATATTATATAATATCAAATGTCTTGGAGAGGATTTATAATATTATAATGCATCATGTGTATTCCTCTAGGGAATTACATATATTCATTACCATCACTGTCTATGAAAAATAGAAAAACATCAGGTTTTGGTCAAAACTGTCAGCTCTGTGAGAATTCGATATTATAATGCATGTATGTACATGAAGCTAAAGCCAAAGCAGTACTTTTCACTTTTGTACACTGAATTAGCTTGGACTAAAAAGTTCGACAGCCACTACATTATTCCACACATCACCTTTCACAATTAAGAATTTATAAAATCAAATCATTTGAGCAGCTACAGCATAGACATTCATTGCAAATGTCCATTCAAACGTGTGAATGACATTAAAAAACAGGAAAACAATAATTTAATGATTTTCACAAATGACAAACTAACCTCTTCAAAAATGGATCCAACGTTGGCGGTGATCAGCATCGTTTTAGTACAATCCCCTTCCATGCTGACCGCTTATCTTTGTAGATTTTCACACAATGTTTGTTCTCTTCTTAAAAAAATATCCTCAGAATAAACCAAAAATTGTAATCTGAAGGTTCACTCTATACGAAAGCTGGTGACTGCTGTCACGAGGCAAAGGTCCGCGGACCTCCACATTATCAATCCAGGACGTAGTTTGGCTGACAGACAACATCCTTACAATGAAATCATCACATTACAGTTTCACAATTAATTTACTCCTCTGAGAATGAAAGAAACAATTAGAAAGTTATCCTGTGTGTGAAGCAATTTGATACTCAATAAATTCAATGAAGTTTTTCACAAGTACATCAATAGCACTTGAACTACAGCAACATCTGCATTTGTGCCATATATTTCTCCTTTCTTTGCTTAGAATTTTTTTAACGGAGGGTCTGCGTACACGGTAACCGGGCACCTAGCCTCAGTGTCTACGTACGGTAACCGGCAACCGGGCACGTAGTCTCAGTGTCATTTTTACACGGTAACCGGACATGTAGCCTCAATATTTACGTACATGGTAACATGGTAACCGGCAACCAGGCATAGTCTCAGTGTCATGTACACGGTAACCGTGCAGTTCAGAACTCCCAAGTTCAGTTTTTGTCATCCGGTGTTGCCTTCATCCCCACCCCTCCCCCGACTGTACCTTAAAAAAACAAAAAAACAATTATAATCCCTACCATTCCAGAGCTCTGTACTTCGCAGCGCACAGACTTGGAATGAACTTTGGTGACCCCAACGGGTACTCACACTCACAATATGATGCACACGCACATGTTCACTGACTCAGTGACTGGTCACGATGGCGAGCCCGACAAGACGCTATATTAATGACTTTCTCTTTTTTCAGCAAGTGACAACACAGGACAAATATTGATTTATTTTCATTCCAGTTACCGTGTACGTAGACCCTGAGACTAGGTGCCCGGTTACCGTGTACGAAGATACACTACTAAGACTAGGTGAGACAAGGTGGCTGGTTACCGTGTGAACGTAGAGATACTGGCTGAAAAAGTACTTTTGGATTCTTTTGGTAAACGATGGGCTACAAGTGCAGTCTGACTTCTCAAAAATTATGTAGAGGCTATTTTCATAGAATGAAATCAAATGAGCTCAACAGATGATCTATATATAACTGTGGCATTGCTGAGACAGACTGACTGATGGAGAAGAAACCAATACCAATATATATGGCATAGATCCGGAACAGGTCTATGAATCAAGTAAATCTAAGGGAAGTGGCTATTCTCACCCGGGGTGAGAATAGAAATACGATCGACCTCTCACCCCGGGTGAGACTTGCCACCGTAGGCTATTCTCACCCGGTGTGAAACAAGACTTGTTTTTCCTAATTTCGGAATACTTTCTATCGGTGGATGAGCAAATGGATAACTATAAAGGCAAAGAAAAGATTGTAACGTTATAGCACAAAAGTTTAGTAAGCTAATTTTATCGACTACAAAGATGCTATGGCTATTTCACTTTTCGAATCAAGCCGAACTACGGGGGTCGCCATTTTGTTTTGCCCGAAAGTTCTCACAAGATCTACTCCTCCCCTCTTCTCTCTCTCTATCTCTTTCTGAATAGGCCCTGTACTGTCTATCGGTGTGGACGATCAAATTGACCAAAACAACGTTAAAAAATGATGTTAGAACACAAAAGTAAATTAATTTGGTTGTCTAAAAAGATGCTACGGCTATTTAACTTTTCTAATCGAGCCGAACTACACGGGTCGCCATTTTGTTTTGCCCGCAAGTTCTCGTGCTACTCCTCTCTCTCTCTCTTTCTCTCTCTCCACTGCCGACAGACAAAATTGTACGCTTTTAGTAGGCTAACAGTAGTAAAGGAACGTTTGTTCACGGCACAGAATTCTACAATTTTTCTGATATCACAGTGTAGAATTCTGTGGTATAGGGTGAAAGTAAAATTGGTTGGCCTAGATCTAGGTTAACGGTGAACGCGCACCGGGTGAGAATAGCCAAAAGACTCGCCTTGTTGGGTGAGAATAGAGGTGGCCAAATCTAAGATCTAGTTTTCTAGATTGTAGATCTAATCTAGATATCTAGATAGATCTAGAATCTAGACCTAGATTCTAGATCTAGATATATATCTACACAGATCCGATGACAATGTTTACCTGTACCTCTAATTTCACAGGATCTTCACTGATTCAGGACTTCAGGAAGCCAACACTTGAACTGTCAGCTGATCTATCTAGATCTAGAATCTAGTACAACAATAAAATAAAGATTAAAAACCGATTCTAGATCTAGATCTACATCTAGATCTAGATCTAGACATAATCTAAATCTAGAATCTAGATCTAGATAGATCTAGAATCTAGATTAGATTAGATCTCGAGACATTTACAGGCAAAAGCCTGAGACAGAGAATTGAATTGAGAAGGCTGCGCAACACCTGTGTTCAGTGTAAAATCATCATACCTAATTCCAAGACTTGTAGATCTACCTTACACTCATACCAGCGCAAACATGGCAATACTAGCTGGCAAAGGCAACGAGGGATCTAGATCTAGTAAAGCAAATGAAGGGAATATGAATCCTCGCGTTTTCCAGAACTGAATCGACACCACTCTAGTTATAGCCTACAAGACTGGAACTGGAGCTGCTCCTGCATTACTGCATTTCCCCATTTTCTTTCTGTATTAGCTCCCTTGCCTTGCTCTCATTCGCTCTTGTCACTGGCTGATGACGTCTCTCGCTGCAAATGAGTTATTACTGCCAATTTTATCACAAGATCGATGATGGGTTTTTTTAATCCATTTATTCAGGAACACTTAAATTTTCGAATGTTTCAATTAAATTAGAATTAAAGAATACGTTTCTGGATTAAATTGCTTTGTATCCTCGACATTAGTTTCCGTAACTCAGTTTTACACATTAACATACGCCTTAACATAACCTAGCCTCACATCACTATTTTTCTCTGGACAGTTCTGATCCAATATGCCAATTTGGATTCATAATTCATACACTTAGCCAAGGCCTACTTTTCATTGTTTGTATGTATGTAGTACAAAAGCGCGCTTTGTTTTACTTTGCGCGTGTGATCCAAGATACTTGTACTACCTATAATACTGTATAAAATCTATGTATTTTATTGTTCACGCACATCTGAATCATGATACGTGAGGCATTCGTGGTGAAATCAGGCGTCCATTAAAATAATGAAGTCGAAGAAATCGACATTTACCCCCTTTTGACAATTTTAGGTAGGCCTACATGTATGTTGTTTGTTTTTTGTTTTTTTGTTTTTGTTGTTGTTTTGTTGGGGTTTTGTTGATGGGGTTTTTTGGGGTGGGGGGTCTGTTTTTTATGTTTTGTTTTGTTTTGGGCTCAACATCTCTTGTGTCCATTCCAAAGAGGTTATGGTGGGTGGTTGGCGGGTGCTCTGATGTGGTTTGCTTCTTCTTTCCCACAAAACAACTATCGTCCTTAGATCTATCTCCTCTCCTCCTTGTTTGTGTTTGTTACTCGTTTGTAACACCTCTAAGCTTCGGCACTTAAGACCATATTGTGTTGTGAGTGCCGTAAAACTCTTACTAAAACTAAACTAAAAGAGATTATAATAGTACTAGAGGGCACAGCTGTGACGTCACCCACGTAAACTCACTGACTCTGCGGTCCCACCAAAGAGTTACCCCCTTTAAAACCAATATACATGTATTAAGTATCTTATGGGTCCCACTCATCTGGCATTTGTCGCCATTTTTTAGGGGATTAGAAACAGCACTGTCACTCTGCGGGTCCCTCGCAATGCCTAGATCTATAGAGTTTTATTTTAATTTCCTTTTTGTTTGCTGTTGCTCAGTGGCGGGGGGTGGACCAAAATTTGGGCGGGGCTTAGGTTGCTTCCACTTCTTTACCACCAAATAGCGAGCAAAAAGAACAAAACGTTGATGATTTTTCTATAGATGTCTACTCACGGCGAGCCACGCACCTTGAGAACCATTCAAACGAGGAGAGTTACCTTTGTCTTCTATCTTTTTGGTCTAAGTTCAATTCTTCTGTATGAAGGGGACGAAGCTGTTTCACCTCCAAATTTCTATTATCATTAATTTTCATCTGATGAAAAAGTTGCCTCAAAAGTGGTTTTATGTAATTAATAACTGTTAAATCTCAGCGGCACACACACAAACATACACACACCACACCCCAAACATTTACCGTCTATATGGGCTGGAACAGGTCGTGTAGTCTCGGAAAGCAGAACGCGCCTAACAAAGGTCTAATGCATGGGTGTATAGGTAACTGCCACTGGGGGAAAGTGTGTCGTAAACTTTTACCCCATTGTCAGGGCTAGGAGAGCGTGAGCCCTCTGTGCAATGTTATTTTTGTCAAGTCTAGGCTATCTTTTTACAAGAGGAGTTTCATTAAGGAGAGGCCGTGGGAACGGGCTCGTCTCTTGCTGAGCCCTAAAGACATTTGATTGGCTGTTAGGGTTACTTATAGTTGTAATTTTCATTTGCTTTGGGATAAAGTGGGGGGGGGGGATCGGGAGGGGGGTTCAAGCACGTGAGCCCTTCACTAACCACCACCACTGCTGTTGTTATTTATTCTTAACGTACACACATGATAATACCACACCTGCTGACCAATTTACTTAAACGTGGGCTACAAATGAGCAGAGATATATTATGAGGTATTGTTTGTTTTTCCCGGGTGGGGTAGGGGAGGGGCGGAGGGAGACAAAATGAGTAACTTGAATTAAGAAAAGGGACAGTTTCATACTTACAAAATGAATTGCTTTTATGTCATGCTGTCTACACATTATACTCTCCTATAAGTAGCTTCTACTGATGCAAAGCCCAGGGCTTCATAGAGAATGCAGGGAGTTAATACTGGGTTAATTATTGTCTCAAAATGAGCAATTAAGTATAGGCTGGGATATTGTTAATCACCTGCTGTATGGATCCTGTACGCACACCCAAAGAGCGTTGCTTAATAATGGCACAAATCTACATTTTAAAATGCAACGCTTAGATAAATACCCTTTTATCTTAAACGTTCACAATATTTTCTTAAATTGGCGCAGGTTGGCAATGATATTTGGCTACACAACACCCCATCTTCATTTAACCCCGGCTGCTGCTGCAGCACATACTGTTGGCATCGGTTCCGCAAATGAGACAGAATATACACTGGTCTTATTGGTGGGTATTTACGCCTGGTTGGCTACTTTATACTCTCTATCATCTCAACAACATCGACAGTGATTCTTTTCTGTTCAGACAGCCTTGAATGTGAGCTAGAGTTGCAGCTGAAGCTTCTTAAGCAGCTTCTCAGTCACATTTGTTATTCCAGAGGGCCGATACGAGCGCCTCAAGTTGTGGTCAGCGGTGCTAAATCTAGACACACTGTTTGGGCGACGCACAGCAAAAGATTTCAATAAAATTATGCTTTTTATTTTTAACAAGTGATCATCAAATTCATCTTATTCTTTTTTTTTTTCCTGAATTTTACTCAACCATATTATGGTCTCACCGTGTAAAAGACCCTTGCATCATTTGAAGATTATCTGGTTCATTTAAAGGCAAATAAGCACAAAAATCCATTATGGGTACATTTTAGCGATAGGACATCAAAAGACGTTGCAGAATATCATTAATCCGTGATTGAAAGTGTTGCTGTGCACCGACTGGCCTTTTATTCCTCTCCGGAATGGCGGCGCACCCCTCAAGGTTGATACTCGTGACGTCACAGCTAAGACCTTGATCTAGTTCTATAAAATTATAACCTCGTTGGTCCACTCTAAAGTAATTCCTATAACACATGGATTTTCTGAAAAACGTTGATCCAAGGCACGAAAGAATGTATTTTGTAGATCTAGTTTCCAAGGACTCTAGGCTACAGCTTTAGAAATCACCTAATTTTGGTGGCATTTTTCTCAACGCCTTGCCGTACCTCGACCGCCCCCATAATAATATATCCTACTTCAATCGCAAATATCTCAACCTCTATTCATGATAGATGGATATTCTTCACCATAAGCAAAGAAAAAGAACAAACTTTAAGATTACACCAATAATTCCAAATTTTATTGCCCTTAATTAACGACCGCCTATATAATTCCCTCGCCCTGACACATACTATTGCCGTATGGTGGTGGGGTTGTGCGTACTTGTTTTCCATCTCTTCCCAGTTGTACCCTTTCATGCTTCTGATAATACAGTTAATGCGTTGATTAGAGAATAATAGTCTGTTGTTATAATAGTTAGAATCTATATATACGGTATAGACTACATGTATAATTTGATATCCTGCGCCTCTTTTTTTAAAAATCTCTCCAACCCTAACTAATATACTATCCCAAATCATTCTGCATATCAACAGCCCATGAAAATACATTCTGTAAACGCTTCTTATGGTCTCTATTTTGAAACAAAGTTTTGGTAGATCTAAGAGTTTTACGGAACTGGCAACACGTGGGTCGCACCAATAAAATAAATGCCTAGCTTACGGTCCTTGAAAAATGACTGAGGCGGGATTGGGGGGTGGGGGGAGGGGAGGAAATACTAATAATATGATACAATACTACGCATAATACATAACGTAGGCCTACATATTTTATAAATACCTGTTGTTAGCATTCATTATTTTGGGCACCCATGAGGTGGCAGATGATGCGCCTTTGGGAATTCCGGTTCATGAAATTAATGGATTTTTATTTATTGATTTTTCTTTGGGGAGGGGGGGGGGGTGCACAGATGACTTGTCAGGCCGATCTGCGCTCAGAAAGTTCTATTCTAATCTTTCACAATGTAGACAGGGGGTGGTGGCTGCAGATGGAGATCGAATACTTCCTAGCCAACCTGCGCTGCTCACAGGTAAATCAAATTAAAGTAAGTTATAAAATGGGTCTTTGATGAATGGAGTATTTTTAAAAAGCTTGGGAATGTTGTTGTTTTTTTTCTTTTAAAATCAGCACTGTATCAGGTAAGGAATCTCCACGAGCAATTCATGTATAGAGGGCTTTATATTAACAGTTGCAAAAAAAACCCCAAAAAATAAATAAAAATTAAGATTTTCGGGTGCTGATCTCACGAGAGTGCCCGTTCTTTTTAAAGTCTAACACGTTGAGTGAAAGCGTTTTTTCTTTCTTCTTTTGCCCTCAAAATTTGGAATTCCCTCCTAAAAGAAATATGCGTATCACAATATCAGAGGGAGAGAGAGAGAGAGAGAGAGAGAGAGAGAGAGAGAGAGAGAGAGAGAGAG